TAGACCTTTTCTAGGCCAGTTTAGACTGCCTATGCAATTTTATATGAGTAAAAATGAAGTTAATTTATATCAGAAATTGCAGGGTGGAGTATTTGCTGAGAATGAAAGCTGCTGTGTTCTCCACCCCTAACTTCTGCCACTAGACCCCTTGCTTGAAACACCATTTAGAGATGTAGGCCTGGCACCATGGCCACCATGGGACTTGCATGCCAGGTCCCCCAGCAGCAACCTGTGCTTGGGCTTTGTGGGAGAAGGAAAAAATTGCCAATCTGATGCATCTTGAGCTTCAGTAATGAATCTCCGTCTGCCAGCTGGTTCCTGTGGTGCCACAGCAGAGAGATGAAACTCTGGCTGCGGAGGAGGTTTGGATAAGTGCAGCAGCATGTGAAACCCAGCTGCTCTAGGTTGAGGACACCTGTCCTGGGCACAGACAAGGCACGCCTGCAGCAGCATGGAGCAGGTGCTCGAGGCATTGGGTTCCTCACTACAGGAGACCTTTTGTATAGTCAGTGTCCTTAAGAGGGTAGAGCCTTAATCCTTCTGCACAGGCACGTCGTGTAGGCAAAGTTGGGAAATTTTAAAGAGGGTTGTTTGTGTGTTACATGTGTGTACATATGTGTATATGCTCATTTTTTAACCATACCAACCTAAATTCAAACTGGTTACTGCCTTGTTAAATAGGGATGTTGCTTGTTCTTTCACCCAGCAGCCGGCCCTTGATATGGAGGCATCAACCAGGCAGGCCTAGCGGAACTCTTTGGCCCTTTCTCTGGCTGAAGTGCTGCCTGGATGCTGCTACACAGAGGAATAGCAGCAGAGTTTTTTTTAAGAGGAGTTGGCAATGCTTCTGTCCCCATAGCTAGATAGACCACCTCTTCCTTCCTGGTCCTCCGTCCACGCTGGAGTGATTGGCTGTATGGTTAAACGTACTTGTCAGCACTTTAGAAGGCCCTGCGTGCATCCATGCAGCTGTACTCCCTACTGTTGGTGGTGATAGACACTCACTGGAATAGTAGATTAGCTCTGTATTTGACATGAATAAAACCACACAGTAGGTTCTCTCTTGTCTGCTCGTTCACTGGGTGTTGTTTTAGACATTTTGTTGCCTGTAGTCGTATCATGCTTTTGCTCTGTGGTGTTCCATTGTGTGAATGTTGCGTAGTGGATCCATTCCACCATTGATGGGCATCTGGATAGTTTGCCAGTTTGGGGCTACACAGATAATACTGGAAGCAAACATCTTATAACAGACCTTTGTACACATCCATTTCTGCTGAGAAGTGAAAGTTCTGGCCATAGAGCATGACTGTTTTTCTCTAGTAGATTACTGCAAAGACAGTTTTCCAAAGTGCTTTTACCAATGGATACACCACACCAATATAGAATTCTGGGTTGCTCCACATTTTTGGATGTTTTTTCTTTTTAATATTAGCCTTTCTGGTGAGAATGTCTTGGTATCACAGTGTAGCTTTAATTTTTTTTCCTCTGATGCACGTCTACATTGAACCACCTTTGTTTGTTTATTGCTACTTGCATAGCCTCACTTATGAGGTCCCTGTTCACCATTTTTCTTTATGTCTTTATGTTAGGTTTGGTAGGAATTTCTTATGTAATCTTCCAGATACATATTTGCAAATACTTTCTCACTCTGAATTTTTTTAGTCTCTAAATTACCTCTTTTAAATAAACAGAAGTTCATAGTCTTTTAAAAATTTTATTTATTTATTTTGAGACAGGGTCTTATTGTGTAGCCCAGTCTGACCTCAAACTCTTGGACTTAAGTGGCTCAAGTGATCCTCCTGCCTCCCCTTCCCAAGTAGCTGGGACTGTAGGCATCACCATGGTGGCTGGCTGCCTTATTATTTTATCCTTCACCTTTACATCTGCAGTTTGTGTTTGGGTATGGTCTGAGATAGGGATCAAATTAATTTTTTTCCCCATGTAACTATCTGATTAACCTAACATCTATTTTTGGCAGTACTAGGGTTTGAACTCACGGTCTTGAACTTTCTGAACAAGTGCTGTAGCACTTTTTTGTCTTTGTTTTTCAGATAGGGTCTTTCACTTTTGCCCAGGCTGTCCTTGGATTGTGATCCTCCTACCTCTACCTCCTGATCCCAAATAATTAGGATTACAGGTGTGCACACCACAGCTGTCCTTAGCATCTTTTTTTTTGGTAGTACTGGGGTTTGAACTCGGGGCCTCGTGCTTACTAAGTAGGCACTCTACCACCTGAGCCACTCCACCAGCACCAGCATCATTTTTTTTTCTTTTTTATTGTTTTATTATTCATATGTACATACAAGGTTTGGGTCACTTCTGCCTCCTGCCCCCACACCCTCCCTTACCACCCACTCAGCCCCCTCCCTCTCCCCCCACCCCCTCAATACCCAGCAGAAACTATTTTGCCCTTATCTCTAATTTTGTTGAGGAGAGAGTATAAGCAATAATACAAGGTTTTTGCTGGTTGAGATAAGGATAGCTGTACAGGGAGTTGACTCACATTAATTTCCTGTGCGTGTGTGTTACCTTCTAGGTTAATTCTTTTTGATCTAACCTTTTCTCTAGTTCCTGGTCCCCTTCTCCTATTGGCCTCAGTTGCTTTTAAGGTATCTGCTTTAGTTTCTCTGCGTTAAGGGCAACAAATGCTAGCTAATTTTTTAGGTGTCTTACCTATCCTCACCCCTCCCTTGTGTGCTCTCGCTTTTATCATGTGCTCAAAGTCCAATCCCCTTGTGTTTTGCCCTTGATCTAATGTCCGCATATGAGGGAGAACATACGATTTTGGTCTTTTGGGCCAGGCTAACCTCACTCAGAATGATGTTCTCCAATTCCATTCATTTACCAGCAAATGATAACATTTCATTCTTCTTCATGGCTGCATAAAATTCCATTGTGTATAGATACCACATTTTCTTGATCCATTCGTCAGTGGTGGGGCATCTTGGCTGTTTCCATAACTTGGCTATTGTGAATAGTGCTGCAATAAAGATGGGTGTGCAGGTGCCTCTGGAGAAACCTGGGTCACAGTCTTTTGGGTATATCCCCAAGAGTGGTATTACCAGCATCATTTTTTAAAAGAACTCCTTTTTTCATTGTACTGTGGTGTTGCCCACATGCTTTTGACAGAGATGATGGGGGCGAGGTAGTAATAATGCTTTCTCTTGTAAGACAGGGATTTCGGCTCTTGTTCTCAATCTCAAGAAGATGTTTTTCCTTCTCCCAGTAAATGGTAATTTCATTGTGCTTCTCCTTCCAGGATACCAAGGGTTCATGTTCTAGAGGATGAAGAGGGTCGAAGGACATTGAACTGTCTGATGATCCTTACGACTGCATCCGACTAAGTGTGGAGAATGTCCCCTGCATCGTCACTCTCTGCAAGGTGTGAGTTTGTATCTGAGAGTTTTCTCTTTCCCCTAGGTATTCCCACCTCTTTCCCCTGGAGTTGGGTCTCCTCCAACCCTGGCCCGTGAAGATGACTTAATAGGTTAAGAAGTTACAGTTGCACAGACCACTTACAGGTTGCTTTAGCCTAGATCCAGTTACTTAATTATATCAGAAAGCACCATCACAAGGTTGTGGTGGAGTCCCAGGAGCCCACGATGGGCTCATGGTGTTCGTAGCCAGAGTTTGTTAAGCTCTGTCTGCATATATCCTTTAACCACCTCAGCTCTGTGGGTTCTAAGTGCTGTGTAGTGGTAGAGTGGCACCATTGTCCCTTCTGTGGGTCCCAGTGTTCACAGCTATCAGGGTCAGGGCAGGTCCTGGTGTCTATAATGTGTGAGCTGCAGTTTTCACAGAGCCAGAGGCCTGTGAGTCTGATATCTTGGATGCTGGTGTTGTAACTAGAACTGTCTGTGCCATGCAGAGAAGCTGGCTGAGATTGTGGGTAACTCCACATGAGGCTGATCATATAAAGATGAGATTGAGTGGGGCAGGTTTCATTCCACCAAAATCAGCGCATAATCCTGGAGTATGGGGAAACGGGCACATGAAAGGATATTGAGACCAATCAGTGCTTCCTGCACCGGACTCATTCTTGAGCTTGTCCATTAGCGTGGGCCCTCTTCACCATTGCAATGAGTGAAATGTCATATGACCTCACATGTGCATTTCTTCTCTGTGCCCCTGTGTTGGAAAGCCTTGCTTATTTCCGTTTCATGTTTTTGTTACACCACATAACACACAGCAGCTGCTGAACATTCCTTCAAGCATTTGCCACATGAGCAATCTCGAATGGGCAAATGCAAGGCCTTTGCCTGGCATAGATATTCTTTCCACCAGCCCATTGAGGGGTTGTAGGGTGTGCATTGTCCGCACCAGTGCTGAGCTGCCCTGACTTTGCAGATTGGCTGTCGGCATGTGGTGGATGCTACTCTGCAGGAGGAGGCCTGCTCCTTGGCCAGTCTACTGGTGTCGGTGACCAGCAAAGGAGTGGTGACATGCATGAGAAAAGTAGGGAAGGGCAGCTTGGACCCCGAGAGTATCTTCGAGATGATGGAGGTGAGGTTGTGGTGCTTGGAGCAGGGGCTGGGGCCTGGCTGGGGATACTTGCTGCTTCCCACCCCCTTGGTCACCCATGGAGTCCTCCATACTCACCATGGACCTCAGACTCAGGGCTTAGAGAGCAGCTGGTAGGCTGGGTGTCTGCTGACCTAACCTAGTCCAGGGGCGCTGGACTGGAGATAAGGACCTGCCAGTAACCTTGCCTATCCTCAGCCAGTACCTCCCCTTCTGTGATCCCAAGCAACTTTGATCATGTGAAGAGTCACTTGTAACTCAGATCACAAGGTGAGGGAATTGAATTCCCTTCCCAGCTGACTGCTTCCTATCCCTTACAGGGAGAATAAAGGTGGAACCAGGGCTGAAGGGTGGCTATCTCCCAGTTTCTCTACAGATGTAGAAATGGTTAGTTGGAGGCTAGCAGGAGGTAGTCCTGAGGATAGGGTACAGTGGGTTGCCTTGTCTCCCTTGGGCTCCACGGCCCTGGCAGCAGCTTTGGGCACTTCTTTGGCTGCCTGAACTGTTTGTTCCACTGTCTCCCTCCGGGGCCTGGAGACTCCTCCAGGGCAAGGTCCTGGGCCTACTCACCACCAGACCTTCTTCCTCCCACATCCACCTCAGCTTTCTGACTGAATTGCTGAGAGCTGTCATCGGATCTGGCTGTTTTTTCCTCAGGTAACTGCTGTACCACCATACCTGCTCAGAGGTCATTGCTTAATAGCATGCACCCTTCCTTCCCTCAGTCTTAGAAGGGGTGCTTTTCACTGAAGGGTCCAAGCATTTCATGTCTCTACTTCTTTATGTCATCTTATTTAAAAGAATAAAATGGGCTGGAGTGTGGCTCAGTGGTAGAGTGAGTGTGTGCTTAGCATGAATGATACCCGGGTTTTGATTTTGAGCACCAATCTCCCCAAAAAAACCAAAAGAAAACAGTGGGCAGTGTATGTAGTGTGGAGGACCCAACCATGGGCTGTGAAGTCATTTCCTAGGCTGTGTACCCTGGTGCTGGGCCATGGTCTGCTCATCTGTTAAGTGGGAATAGCAGCAGCGTCAGCCACAGGCTGCTCAGAGGGCTGTGTGGGGCGTAGAGTGCCAGGCACGCAATCAGTTCTCCGGACATGCAGCTCTTTCTCTGCTCTGTTAAATAGCCTGGGCTTTGGCTTCTCCAGAAGTACACAGAATGCTGTAGTGATTCCATCAAGGGCCTCTCGGGACAAGGGAGCCGCAAACCTTACTTTGAAAGGAGCGCCTCCCCTCACTACGGAGAATTTTGAGAATTCAAGTTCTAAACAACAAAACAAAAATAATAGCTAAATTGTAATGTGTGCTTACTGTGTACCAAACACTGTTTGTAGTGCTTAAAATATATTTTATCCCTTAGTACTCAGCAGTTCTCCTTTTTCCATATGAGGAAACTGAGGCACACAGAGGATGAGTAACTTGCCTGCATAGCTCATGAATGCTGGAGCTGTGACTCTAGAATCCCACTCTCATCCGCTGTGCAAGCCAGGTCTGTGACTATCGTTGATGGCAGAGGGAGAGGGAACTCTGTTCAATGAGTTGAGCCTCACCCTCCCTGGGGTTTGGGGACAAAGCCTGCAAGCTCCACTCAGGGAACTACAACCCTGTGGTCCTGCCTCATTGTTTGCTATAGTCCTGAAATGCCCCTGATGGGGAAGCTGGGAGCCTCCAGCTGCCTCTGCAGCACCTTCCTGCAAATCCAGGTTCAAAGGCATTAAAGCCTGCTTGAATCCTGATATCCTGTTGTCTCACCTCTCCCCACCTTCATTTATATGAATTACTATCCCCCGTTGATGAGTTTGGACACCTTTTCTTTCTTTACAGCATTTTGGACCTTAAACCCTGAGTTTGTATTTCGTAGACCTGATCTTCCAGACTTTTATACCAATCATCTTTTCTGAAGTGCTTCCAGTCCTACTTCGAGGGTCACCCCATGCTATAGTTAGGGGCCAGAGCAGTAGGCACACAGTCGTTACTCACCTCTATCTGGGAGGATTAGGCAGGGTCTGGACCTGGGAGTCTGTCTCCCTGACATTGTTGAGCATGAAACACTGTGGAAGGATGGAAGGCCTGATGGGGAGGCTTGCGGTTAGTTCACTGTATTCTTAAAATGATTCACAAGCCCAGAGACAGATGGTTTTATAAAGATTTTTCTGTGTATACTGGGGTTTTGGGGTACATTTTATACATACAAGTTTTTCTGTTTTCTAATGTGTGCAGTATGGACATTAATCACTTAGTCTGTCGGTTGCCTGACCTCTTGATGTGTCTCAGTTCCACTGCTGCTAGTCTCTCTGTATGGAGGTTACTCCACAGCCCCATCCAGGGGCTGCCTGTGGTTCCCTCTGAGCGCTTCTGCCTAGAGGCTTGCTTGTTAAAATGGCCTTGGCCCTGTCTACTCCTTTCCAGCTGCCTGGGTTCTCTGTGGTCTCCTTGGGCCTTCTCGTGGCACATGGTATGACATGTCTGACTGAGCCCAGTTTGGGTTGACATCACAGCTCTTGTGATGGCAACAGGAGTGTTGAGCACAAGCCGATGACCAGGCAGCCTTTCTTGCTTCCTGAGCATGCGTGTCTTTTTTATTATTTGTTTTTTGGTTTTTTTGGTATGGGGTTTTCTAAAATGCAGTCATTATGTTGTGATTTGTTTTGTTTTAATTAAAATCCCTCTGAGGGATGGGGGTATACTCAGTGGTAGAGCACTTGCCTAACATGTGTGGGACTCTGTTTCATCCCAGCACAACAAAATTAAAAATTAAAAAAAAAGTCCACTGAGATAGATGGAATGTGTTCTGTATGTGATGGCTGGCTAGCAAAAAGGGGAACTCTTTCTTGTGTGCCTCACAAGTAGGTGTGTTCTCTCTTCCATCCCGTCCTGTCCCATCCCTGTCCTGCAGACCGGCAAGCGAGTGGGCAAGGTGCTGCATGCCTCCCTGCAGAGCGTTCTACACAAGGAAGAAAGCCTGGGGCCCAAGAGGCAGAAGGTTGGATTTCTGGGGTGACTGGCATGCAACCCCTGGACTATTTGTTTTTTACTTTTGCATTTAAACCGAAGTTTGTATATATTTTTCTTAATTGTAATGCATCGAAGGCAACATTTGTACACACAAAATTAAAGTCTATTTTCTGGTCTGGTTTGGTATTGCTAAGTTCTTCAGCTGCATGCCCTGACACCATTCAATTCAGAGATCTACTGCCAAGAGAGAGGGACAGGGGCCTCCAGGGAGATTCCTGACAACAGAGTTCAAAATGATGACTGCGAACACTGTACTAAAGACCTGGCAGAAAGTGGCTTAAAGGAAGTGCTTATGCTACATGTTTTGTGGTTTTTTGTTCTTTTTTTTTTCTTTCCCCTCTGTAGAACTTCAAAATAAGAATAACAAAGAGCAGTTACTTACTTTGTGTATTTGGTGCTTCTATGGCAGGGAGAAGGGAAGCCCACTGCCTCTTGGGTGCCCAGCCTGGCTGGCCAGCCTTCCTGAGTCCTGCATCCAAGAGATCCGGGCGGAGCTCCTTCAGGCCAGGAGCTCGGCCAACTTCTCTTATCACTCTGGTTTTGCAGTTTTTTATAACCACTCCTTGGTGTTTTGTAAGATTTCATGTTATATCAGCATTGGGAAGGCTGCTTGGAAGATGTCATTTGATTATCAGCCGGCCTTCATACTCTGGGGATAGAACGGAAGGCCATCTGCTCACAGTGCAGCAGGTTGGAATTAAGTCTTCATAGAGAGCAGTCTTTGTTGTTTTTCCAGGGGAACCAAAACTGCTAAATCAGTCTTAGCCTGGAGAAGGAGCTGATTCATGGTGTAGAGTATTTTGGCCGTGGCATTTACATGCTGCACTTCACTTAGATAAACTGGGTACGTTGTTAGGAGTTTATCACCTAACACAACATAATGTGAGCTGAAGCCCCCTCGGACCACTTCCAGAGGCCTGGCATGGGTACCCTTCCCAGCACAGCCAGGCCTATCCTTGTGGAGAGAAGCTGTTGCCCTGTTGAGAACAGCCTGGGTTTTCATCTTGTATGTTTCTGCAAGCACCATGACACTTACTGCTCCTAACAGGTCGGAAACCAGCACTGTCTCCTCCCTGCTTCTGGTAGTCTGCCCATTGGTGGTACAGATGTGCAACTCAAGTGTGGATAAAGTTTGGAGGCTTGATCTCAGAGCATGTGTGTGAAACTTGGCTGCTTACATTTTTCTTCAGACAGATGGGGCTTTGCCAGGACAGCTGAATAGGGAATAGCTGCCACCTTCCCAGCAGTGCTAGCCAGCCAGGCAGTACAGGAAACATAAGAATGTCAGCATCCATTGCTGACCATTCCATACCTTTCCTTGAAGGCCTCCCCTGCAGGCAGAATGTTACAAATGAACCACCAGATGATCATCTCTCTCCAGAAGGGTTGATTGTGAAGCTCTGTTTATTGCAGCTCTCAGAAAGGGACTGGAAAAGACTTGGAAAAATACTGTTCCAGAGGGACTAAATTTGATCCATCAGAGCCATAGCTGTCTTTAGTGTCCTTTACCTAATCATTTCAGGGAGGGGGAAGAACACTGAAGTCTGCCAAAGTCAGGGCAGGCATAAGGAATGCAGTGTTACATAAGATTCAAGTAGGTTTTAATGTTTCTGTCATCCTGGGATCTCCCAAATCACGTAAATTCAAGCCTGCAAAACACATGGGTTTAGAATATTAACAGTGGTTTGCATTTTGCTCGATAAAGGCAGTGTCTTCCATGTAAACAGGCAGAGCATAAGCCTATTTGATCTGACACAGTGAGTAAGATGTCCGTTGCCTCTGACCTAGTATTTCCACTTCTGGGAAAGTAACCAAAATAAGCAACTCAGGATACAAGAAGGCAGAAGTATTAAATGTAAGGAAGTTCATTCCAGTATTATTTGTGCTCCCAAGTAGTGGTCAAGGGTAAATGCCTCTCACTGGGGAAGTGTGAGATGACCCTGCTGTGCTGCTTCTGTTCCTCAGTCTCTCTTGTTGGGGGGTGGAGGGGAAGGGCACAACTACAGGCTCGCTTTCTACTTTCCATATGCATTTCACCCTGTTCTTCAACTTCTGATGCCAAGTCAAGAATACTGGCAGGAGCCCACTCAGCATTTAAGTATGTGCAGTCCAGAAATTCTGAGGACTCAGTGGCTCTTGAAGCTACCCACTGGCACTGGAAGGAAGACTTGGTGTGCTTGGTCCTTGGGTGGACCATTCTGAGAGGTGTCTGCTTCTCTCACGGTGGTGTGATTGCATCTCAGGTGCTCATGACTGAGTTCAACTCTTGTCGTTGCCCTTTTTCTCTCCCCAGCCCTTCCCTCCTGCACCCTGTGGCACCACCTTCCAAATAAACCACCAGAACATGGGTCCTCGTCTCAGGCTCTGCTTTTGGTGTGTGTGGGAGGAGGCAGGGGATTGGGGGGAACCCAGACAACAGGCACAGGGTTGGAACCAGGCAGTAAGTGAAGATCTGGCACAAGTCTAGCTTACAATGGGTTCAGTGTGATTATTTCTTTGTCCCCAGATGCATACATGAAGTGAATATGGTATAATTGGGATGGATTAAGAACCACAGTGGTAAGAGGCAAGATCAGAAAAATGGCCTCCCTTCTCTGGCCAAGAAAGTAAATCAGAAACCATACTGGCTCTTCGGAAGAATTACAGATTAGCACCAACATCAAAGACAAAGGATGCAATTGTGGTTGTCCTCAACTCATCACCATTTAGTTTAACTCTGTGACCTTTGTACAAGCCAGATGGGACACAATGGGTGACCGAGGACTCCTACACACATAAGAAGTAAACCCAATTTCAACTGCCATGCTGGGTGAAGTATTTTGCCTGGGACAAATCAACACAGTGTCTGGGGCTTGGGATGTGGTTGTATAGTAGGCAAATACTCCCTTAATCAGCAACAAGAAGGATCAAAAGCAGAATGACAGCAAGATGTGTTCAGGCTTTGTCTCAGCTCTGTGTAAATCACTGCTTTATTTTATGGTGAGTTCTTCCAGGCCATTGTACTGATCCCTAATGTTGAACAAATCATGTTTATTGGATCTGCTGCCTAGAAAGTGGTCAGTAGTTGGAAGTCCTAGTAAAACATGTGTGGAAGAGGATAAAACAAACCCCACAAAGATTCAGGAGACCACTGTGTTGGTAATGATTTTAGGTGTCCAGTGATGTGGGATATTCTCAAGACAGCTGCTCTAAGATAGAGAACAATTTGGACCTTACATCCATTCCCATCCCCACCCATAAAAAAGAAATATTTATTCTATTTGTTGGGTCTCTGGCTATGGGGGGCAAAAAAATGATCACCTAAGAACATTGTTTCAACTCCTCTATTGATTTATTCACAAAGCTTCTATCTGTGAAAAGGAGCCCAGAAGATGATGGGAGACTCATGCCACCTACATGGAATTTCAGACCTCCTTCCTTCTCTATATGACAGATTGTAGTGGAGCTGGGGCTGTGGGTGTGGATACAGGTATTGTGTGGAGCCCCTAGGATTCTGAGGCAAGACCATGTCAAGGAAAATTATTTGCCTCCCAGTTGAGTGTGTTTGAAAATCAGTTCCTGGCTTGCCACTGCACCTAAGGAAAGAGTACTTGACCCTGGGCCTCAACTGACCTGAGCTGGTTATTGTCAGACCCATCTGGTCATAAGAGGTGCAGTAGTTCATGCATGGTGGGAATGTACATTCAGGATTGGGCCTGAGCAGTACAGTGGGCACAAACAAGGAACAAAGTCACCCGGACTCCTCTGTCACCTCCTCTGTCCATCCATGCTTCTCATCCACATCTCTGGCCCCACAGAAGGAGATTCCTACAACCAGATATTGGAAGAGGAAAACCCAGGTCTGGTGTGTGGAAGAGTCCATTATAGATGCACACCAAAAAGGGGCTGTCATATTCCAGTCTCGCCCAGAGGTGGCCCTTTGGGACAGCAATGGAGAAACTGGGAGAAGTAGTACACTTGGTGGTTCAGTTTGTGTGAAAGGGTAAGAATGTATATAGACTCTTGGGTAGTAGAGTATTGCTTGGCTCATTGGTCAAAGCCCACAAAGGAACAGGATGGGATGACTGGAGAGAAGGGCTATGCATGGAGTTGGGGAATGGGCCTGAAGAGGGCAGATCAGATCTTCTGGAAATCATGTTACTGCCCAAAAATGGCACTCAATCCCTCAGTTGTGACATCTGGTTTGGTTAGGATTTGTAGGCCTTGGCTAACCATCATTCCCGCTGCCACAACTAAAACAGCTGGATACATTTCAAAAATCCTTTCTTTAAAGATTTAGAGATCTCTGGAAACAAAGAACATGGCCTAAAATTCCAGAGAAGGGAGAGATTTATGAAGTGAATAGTCTGTCACCAGTCATTTTTAGGCTGGACAGGAAATGAGGAGCAAGCTTGGTGCACACGGGGAGAAGAGACACCAGCAAAACCATGGCCACTTGGACACTTAAGGATCTCTAAACACACAGTGGAGATCTAAGACAAGATGGGAGGCAAAGGCATTTCATTTAAGGTAGATCGAAATCTCTTGTGGCATCCCATAGGGCTACTCAGGCTTTCAATTTCTATTTCTTCTGTGTAAGCTTTGGCAATAGTCAAAGGCATCGGGTAAATGCAAAACCAAGCTGAGCTGCTCATTTATTCTTCCAGAAGCTACAAATCAGGTGATTTCCTGTCTCCCCTGAAAAGGAGGGGAAAAAAGAGTAGAAAGAGGTCATCTTGCTCTTGGCACACTGGGACAGTGTGGTCGCTCAGATTCATCCTGTCCTTCCTGCAATTGTGCAGGTTGTCCATCTGTCTCCCACATGTGACCTCAGTGTGCACCCTGAAAGGATGCCATGTGCAGCAAGGCAGAGATTATGGCTCCATTTCATAGAAGAGGTGTTGGGTCGTGAATAACTTGCCCAAAAGACACAAGTGCTAGGTATCTTGCTAGATTTGGATGTTGGGACTCCCAATTCTCTTTCCATTGCCATACTTCTGACCTTTAAGGACAAAGCAACGAGAATGTGAGCCCCATAAGAGCTAAGACCTGCTGTCCCCCAAAGGACCTGGTACCCAGGAGCAGAGGCAACACTTGAATGAGTGACAGAGGACCAGGTCAACAAAGTGTGAACTGATGGCTTTCCTAGTAAAGGCCATTGAGGCCAAGGTTAATAGGCCGTATGTGTGTGTGTTTTCCTCCCCTCCCCGCACCCCATCCTTTCATTTATACTTCCCAAATAGCTGGGATGACAGACATGCACCATCATCCTAGCTTTTATTAGTTAAGATAGGGTCTTGCAAACTTTTTTGCCTGGGCTCACACTGATCTCCATCTCCCAATGAGTTTGGTTTTGACTAAAGGCTCGAACTCCTCTTGCATTTTTGGAGGGATTTGCACCCTGAATGCTCTGACCTCCAAAGCGGATGTGGAAAGCTCTCTGCTTCCTCAGGCTGGGCCACATTTCTGTTGACACAGGACCAATTGG